AAATCCATAGGAACAGAAAGTAGATTAGTGGCTTTCGGGGGGATGGAAGGGGGAGGGGGTATGGGGAGGAAATGGGCAGTGACTGTTAATGGGTTCAGGGTTTCTTGTCAGGGTAATAAAAATTCTAAACTGTAGTGATGGGGGTTGTATAACTGTGAATATACTTAAAAATCATTGAATTATACACTTCAAATCAACAAATTATACGGTATGTGAATTATAGTTCAGTAATTCTGTTAAAAAAAAGACCGTAGGAAATAATCTAGATATGTAATTTACCAAATTAATAGATTAAAGGAAAAAACATGGGCGACTGGGTGCCTCAGTCAGTTGGGCGTCAGCCTTTGACTTAGGTTGTGATCCCGGGGTCCTGGGATTGAGTCCCACATTAGGCTCCCTGCTCAGTGGAGAGCCTGCTTCTCCCTCTTCCTCTGCCTACCTCTCTGCCTGCTTGTGCTCTCTCTTTATCAAATAAATAATATCTTAAAAAAAAAAAATGCCATGTGACAGATACATAGCCCTATTTCCTTATTAACAAAAATCCCAATTTTGTTAAAAGGAGTTACTGGTCAGTTGAAAAAAACCCACTTTCCCCAGACTCGCTTGCAGCTAGACTACGCCATAATTCTGGTCAACAAAAATTAGGTAAGTCTCCTGAGGATTTCTGAGGGTTTTTTTTTTTTTTTCTCTTAATATAAGTACTTGTTCTTCCCTGCACTTACTTCTTCTTGCCCAGAATATGGATGATTTAATACCTGGAACTGTGGTGGTCGTCTACAAGGACAAAAGCCAAATGCTCAAAGATGCCAAAAAAGAGATACAGAAGGGGGCACCTGGGTGTCTCGGTGGGTTAAAGCCTCTGCCTTCGGCTCAGGTCATGATCTCAGGGTCCTGGGATCAAGTCCCACATCGGGCTCTCTGCTCAGCAGGGAGCCTGTTTCCCTTCCTCTCTCTCTCCCTACCTCTCTGCCTACTTGTGATCTGTCAAATAAAATAAAAAATAAATTCTTGGGAAAAAAAAAAGAGATACAGAGGGCACCGGGGGGCCTCAGTCGGTTAAGCTTCTGCCTTCAGCGCAGATCATGATCTCAGGGTCCTGGGATCAAGTCCTACATCGGCGGGGCGGGGGACGGCGGGGGGGGGGGGTCCCTGCTCAGCAGGGAGTCTGCTTCTCCTTCTCCCTCTGTGTTCTCTCTCGTTCTCACTCTGTCTCTCAAATAAATAGAATTAAAAAAAAAAAATGGGTGGTTTGCATTTCCCACCCTGCTTAAAAAGAAAGAGAGAGATAAAACGATCTTAGGACACTGATGATAGTGTGAAGCTGGGCTTCCTGTTACATGAGAAAAGTACACCCCTCTCACTTAGGTTTTCAGTTACGTACAGCTGAACACAATCCTAACCAGTATTAGTTTGCTGTTACTTCTCTTCAACATGTTAGTAAACTCTTAACGTATACGGCAACATAAGGGGAAAAAAAAGAATAGGTTTGAAAGGAAGAAACAGCCTACACTCCAGTGGTGCAGTAGAAAAGATTATATCAAAGTAGCAAAATGTTAACAACTGGCGAATCTACATCAGCGTATTCAGCCTTGGAATTATTCAAAATAAATATTTACGGCAAAAAATACTGATGAGTAAAGCAGTGAATTCTGTGACAACATATACCATGAACAAAGGGAAAAGACAAGCCAAGTTATCAGTAAAGGATTAGAAAAAGATTAGCTTCCAGAATACATGAAGAATTTGAACATATTCTACAAGTCAATCAGTAAGACAAGCAACCCACAAGAAAAACAAGCAGATGACAGGGACTACACATTCATGGGAAACGAAACCCATTATGCCCAATAAACAAAAAGATGCCCCGTGTACTAATCAAGAAAATGCAAATTAAAACAAAAAATAGAGCACTTCACACCCACGCCACCATGGTGGCAAATTCCTTTAAGCTTGAGCACAGACGTACTGACACAACTGTAAAGTGACAGGAACTCTCAACCAGCAACAGAAGTTTGAACAGGTTTGACACTGTCAAGGAGCCTTTGACAACACCTGACAGTTAAAGAGGCACAGAATACTCAGCCATGCCCGTCTTGGTTACAAACCCCGGAGCAGCAGCAAGTCCATTACTTTACGCAGTAACACCAGAACATCATTTGCCTCTTTCATCCTCACTCTCTCATGAGTGTTCAGTGAAGTTTTCCAGAGGCTCATGGTACACGTCACAGCCAGATGACTGCCGAAGCAGACACGAGAATCCAGCTGTCTTCTATTAATTCGGACATTAAAGAGATTTTCAAAAGCGTAAAAGCAATGCCATTCTTCTATTTTTTTTTCTCTGTTTTGGAAAATACTTATTTTTCACAAAAATGTTATTTATGATAACACATAGCAAGTTTATTATTATGATTTTTTAATAAATAAGTATGTTAAGCATATCTCATACAATAAATATTGATAGCTATAACTCACCTAAAAGCTCTTTGGGGTCCTCAATCATGTTTTCAGGGTGTAAAAAGACCCTTAGACCAAAACGTTTGAGAACCACTGCCCTGTGATCACTGGAGAAGTGATCACATATGTATACCAGGAGACATACAAAAATCTTCCTGTAACACTGAGCAAAGAACTGTCCATCAGAAGGAAAAAATGATAGACTGTGTATAAAATAACTAGATAGTCATTTAAAGAAATGAACTAGGGTGCCTAGCGTCTGCCTTCCGCTCAGGTCATGATTCTGGGGTCCTAGGTTCAAGTCCCACCTCAGGTTCCATGTTCTAGGCGAAGCCTGCTTCTCCTGCTTCCTCTGCTTCTCTCTCTCTCATGAATAAATAAAATCTTTTTAAAAATTAAAAATTAAAAATAAATGAACTAGCACTACCTGTATCACATGGCCAAATCTCACAAATAATGAATTTAAAAAGCACAGGGCTGAAAGATATATACAATATACCATGCATATAGTTTTAAAACATCTAAAATCATACTAAAATATATGATTATTTAGTGATACACATATACACAAAAAAAGTAAAAAATAAAAACAATTGGGAATGATAAAAGCAAAAACTGGGGTACATGGCTGGCTTAGCAGGTACAGCATGCCACTCTTGGTCTCAGGGTCATGAGTTCAAGTCCCATACTGGGCACAGAGCTTACTTTAAAAAAAAAAAAAAAAAAAAAGGAAAAATCTACACAGAGGTTACCTCTGCAGAGGTGGGGAAAAAAATAGCATGGGGGAAAGATACACAGGAGCCTTCAATTATATATGGAGGCTTTCAAGTACATATATTAATTACATATGTACTTGAAACACAGGTATTCATTATATTATTCCCTATAATTTTTTGTATGATTGTAATACATCATAAGCAAAAATTAAGAATGCTGAATAGATACAAAGGTGTTAGGAAGGGGAAGACACCATCGGACCAAATGAAGGATTGCAAATTAAAGGTGACTTCGGTTTGACTTAGGTCTCAAAAACTCTAGAAAATTGGAAGAATACCACTGCAATAGCTCAAATTTAGCAAGTCAGGATGAAGAAACAGTTTGGGAAAAGGTAAGGTGGTGGGATTTAGACATGCTACCAGGAGCAGCAAAGATGTAAAGAGAGTTGTAAATTTAAAGATAGTGTTTGGGAGCTGTCAGGGCCAGAGATACAGATTTGGGACTCACTGAATAAGGATGGAAGATTTGAGAATAGATGAGATCAAAAAGGGTAATAAAGGAAAATGAGCGTATGAAGAAGCTATGAGAGAGAGCAGAGGATAAAGCTTGGGGAACAGACACAGAGGCCCATGGCAGAGAAGATAAAAGAGAGGATAGGGAAAGATGGCAGTGAATCCTCAGAAAGGTCAGTGAAGGAATCAGAGTCAGACCCGAGAACATTCAAAAAAAGAAGGTATAAAAAGGTTCAAAGAGAATGACGAATGTGCTAGGTCACTGGATTATATTCGTATAATTTCAGTGTGCCAATTTCAGGAAGCCAATATTGATTGATTCCAACACTTTCTAACCACTCTTCTTCCACCCATTCATTCCAACAAAAGCTGACTATCTTGTATGTAGACACTAATGATACAATAATTGTCTCTGTCTTCATGGTCCTACGATCACAGTAGAAGAGAAAAACTAATCAATTACTAACCTTGATGAATGTAAAATCACAACTATAATGAATGCTATCAATGGGAGTACATGGAGCTTTGAGACTGCGTAATTAGAGAACTGTTAACTCCTCCCTCCTTTCAGCAGTGTATACTGTGCCTTCCTGAACAGAATGTAAGCCCAAGAGGACATACTTTTTTTTTTTAAAGATTTTATTTATTTATTTAACAGACAGAGATCACAAGTAGGAAGAGAGGCAGGCAAAGAGAGAGGGGGAAGCAGGCTCCCTGTGATGTGGGGTTGATCCCAGGACCCTAGGATCATGAGCCAAAGGCAGAAGCTTAACCCACTAAGGCACCCAGGCGCCCCGAGGGCTTACTTTTTTATACTCTTATACTGTTGATTTTCTTTTGATATCTTCTCCAACTGCTCAGCATAATGCTTCAAAATAATGGGTATTTAGTATATCCTTACTTACACATCTGTAATGGGATGCATCAGATTTTGTAAAAAAAAAAAAAAAAGTCCTATTGTACAGAAGAGCTGTGACTTTTTTTTTTTTTTTTTTTTTTTTTAAATAACCTGCTATGGGAGTTAAAGAGGCCAAAAGAAAAGTATAAGCCTTGAAAAGGTTAGCTTGGTGTCTTCAACCAATTACCTTGAGACTGCTTAGGATGATTCTCAAAGAGGGAGCTAGTAAAATCATGGAACGACTGGCACAAAATATTCTCACCTCTACAGAGACAATTTGAAATGTACATTCTACCAATAGTAACCCAGTTCTATGTTATTTTTGCAAATAAAAAGCAAAACATTCATTATAAGGTGATTGGCTCTGATAACAAAAACAGAGTTGAGCGGTATTCAAGAGGCACCCCACAACTACTTACATCACGAAACTGAACCTTTCCCAGTTCTCCTAATTCACTGACGCAACAATAAGCAGCTTCTGACTGTAGAAAAAGCTGGGCCAGCGTCATCTCCTCGCTCCGGAAGAGCTCCCCCATGGTGTCGGAAGAAAGCACCAGTCAACGGGAGTACCTGAATTTCTCTCCAACCTTAAGCAAAAAGAGAAAACTGCATTACTAAAAGGAGCAAACACCACAACATTAAGCCTCTTTTGTTTTGCATTTCATATCTTCCACCCCATGCAGACAGATCTTTAACATCCTGCTTCAAAGGATGGAAAGGACAAATTGCAAAAGGCTGTTACTAAATCCTCTCCCACAGAATACCTAACAAAAAGCCACTTCCTTCAGTCAACATCAGGATCAAATGACAAAATTTGGGGGCGTCCCAATACATAAGAGTGTATCCAGGTTAAAAACAAGAACTGGGATTCCCAAACAGCTCTTTAAATACCCTAGACAGGGTATTATGAGGCAGTGATGTTCATGCTGCCCGATCTTTTTTTGGCTTGTGTCAGGAAACACATGGAAGAGACCTAGATTATTCTCTCATAAAGGATGTCTCCGCTGAGACTAGTTTTCTACCCTCTACTGCCCATTTCTTTTTTTTTTTTTCCTTTAAAGATTTTATTTATTTATTTGACAGAGAGAGAGAGATCACAAGTAGGGAGAGAGGCAGGGAGAGAGAGAGGGGGAAGCAGGCTCCTTGCTGAGCAGACAGCTTGATGCTGGGCTGGATCCCAGGACCCCGAGATCATGACCTGAGCTGAAGGTAGAGGCTTAACCCACTGAGCCACCCAGGAGCCCCTCTACTGCCCATTTCTAACTGTTGGAGTCCCAGCATTACCCCAGAGCTATAGGTACCTTAAAGGGTTTAATCTTCCAACTCCTCAGGAAACACCACTTTCTCCCTAAGGAATCTAAACACATCAGCACTATCTGAAGAAAAAAAAAAAAAGGTGGGGGGCGGGGAGGGAGGGAGGGGGACACCTGGCTGGTTCAGCCAGTACAGCATGTGACTCTTGATCTCAGGGTCAGGAGATTATGAAGCCCCATGTTGGGCGTGGAATTTACTTTAAAAAAAAAAAAAAAAAAAGAGCTGCCTTGCAATATTAAGCTAAATTTCGAGTCCAGCATGACAGGAATATGTTGATAATGACAAAGCAGTTTTATCAAACCACAGAGAATAAACCTGCCACTTCCATAGCTTTCAATTTCTTATCCCCACCTTCAAGATTAATTACATTCCTCCATCTGTTAAAGCTTCTCATGCATGAGCCAATAAAGGTTTCCTTTTAGGGCTGTCTTATCCTTGCCCAGTATGAAAGACAATGGCGCTATCAGTGGTCCTGAAACTGCAATTATTTATTCTCAATCAGCTATTGTAAGGCACAGACTGTGCTCTATCTAAACTCAGCAAACCGTACAATATTTTTAGTATCATGAGGGCATCCATAAGGATAGGTGAAACTGGCATCAAAGGAAGCGTTACTGTTCTGCAACGCTGGAAGACATTTTGAAAAATCTGAATGACAAAACCTTTGTGCATTTGTTCAAGGCAGCAAAACAAAACACTCAGATATAAGCAAAGATTTCTCAAGAGATTATGTAGCCTGTCTTTAAAATTGTCTATACCTTAATCACCCAAAACAGCTGTTATCAACCCTCCCACATCCTCCCCCAAACAAGAATAGAGTCCACAACCTCTAAAGCAGGTAAAATTATGCCTGATCAGCATAGTTCAGGGGCTGCCAATAATGACAGCCTCCAGAGTTGCCTCCCTCCTTCTGTTCTTTAATGATTACAAGTCTCCCTAGAACATCTCTATCCCACTGGAGCCAAACAGAAAACTAAACAGGCTAAAGCGATTCGGGGATGTCTTGTCACAAAACAAAATATGAATAAACAGCAATTCTGCACAAGATGAGTATAAATAAAGCGCCCGGCGCCTAGCCTCACTATTGTCATCCAGCCCTCGCCTCCTACGAGGTATTCAAATTCACCTGCTTCATTTCCTGTCTACCCAGTGAGAAAGCAGGAATTCTGAGCCCAGGCACACCTACCTCCCCAAGTGGCGATTAAAAGGCAGGGAGGGATCATCAAATTGGGAGCCCCTTTAAAAAGCCCCCCAAATTCTTCTGCCTACCCAATAACCTTCTGTTCCTCCGCCTACGCCTTAAACGGGGGAAGGGTCGAGGGCCTCCAAAGAGGAGTGAACCTCCGATTCCTATGCCCCGGGGTGGGGGTACCCGAAGAGGGGTAAACCCCCACTTCCTCTCAAAGACCTAAGATCTCTGCTAATTCCTTTGACAAGCGAGGAGACTAATTAGAATTTCCCATGCCCTTCCGAGGCCTCTCCGGGCCGCGCCGTGCCTACATCCCCCCCGCTCACCTTCAGCCCCGGGCCGGGCCGCAGCCAAGGCAGCCGCCCCAGACCGAGCCCGCAGCCTCAGCGGGTTGGGACATCAGCGCTCGACGTGCGTGCGTCCGCAAAGCCCTGCCCCCGCGCAGCCGCCGGCTCCGCCCCCACGATGACCTCATTGTAGTCAGCCAATGGGGGGAGGCCTGGGTCGGCTGCCGCACTGCAGAGTCGCGGGGGCGCGGGCAAGACCCTGAATGCTGACGCCATCTTGTTCCCGGGGCTGTGACTCCCGCCCTGCGGGACGGGGTGGCTGTGGGGGCTGCTGGTGTGGGTGCTCGAGGACCTCCACTTATATGCCCTTCAGAATCTCTTCTCCCTGACACTTCCCCTCGAGGCTGGGCTGTCTGCTTGCAGATTAATTCACAACTTTTCTTCCTTGAGGAAAGTCACATCAAGGAAGGGGAGACATGAAATGACCTGAAAGCTGGAGGAAGAGCTTATTAAAAGCGCTTACAGTCCAGTCTTCTCTACACTACACACGCACGCTTTTTCCTTATTTTACAGAGAACATTTAACCCTCCGAGTGAGCAAGGCCTTTCTAAGATCGTAGTAGAACCTTGAACAGGGGCTCGTTCACTTAAGTATGGAAAAGCCCTTTTTAGGAAGGTGCTTGGCTAAGTCCCTTTAGCAAGCGTTCAGGGTCTATTTTTCTCCAATTAGTGGGGAAATCCCCGTAAGACCCTATGTAGTGACAGTACATTTTTATCTTGCTCGGCGGATTCCTACAGGCCGTTTGACCACGTAAGGGTTTTCTATTCCTCAAAAGTTTTTAAAGAATAACTTTTTTAAACGGAAAAGTGGAGCATCTGGGTGGCTAAGTAGGCTAAGCGTTTGCTTTCAGCTAAGGTCATGATCCCAGGGTCCTGGGATGGAACCCCATGTTGGGCTCCCTGCTCCCCAGACAGCCTGTTTCTCCCTCTGCCTCTCACCCCTGCTTGTTCTCTCTCTCAAATAAATAAAATCTTAAAAACAAATAAAACCGCAAAAGTGATGCTAATGTGGGAAACAAAGGCAAAAGAAAATCTAAATTTCCTTACTAGCTACAGCCCACTGACAAGTCCCCAGGGACATTGCTTTAGGAACTCAGCTGCCTCGATTTTTGTTTGTTTGTTTGCTTGTTTTAGCTCCCTCGATGTTAATACCTTGCTAAGGGCAAAAGGTAATCTCAGCTGGACCCCCAAGATGCTGTAAATCTACTTTAACATGTTAATACCTGGCTAAGGGCAAAAGGTAATCTCAGCTGGACCCCCAGGATGCTGTAAGTCTACTTTAACATATAAAAGTTCTTTTGGAAAATTCCTTGCTCTCTACCCCCAGAGATACAAGTTGACAATCATCCTCCAAGCATATGACCCACCAGTATACATCTGAAGCGTCTCATGACTATGGTTTTTTTAGACAGTAATAAACGACTTTTTCCTAACAATAACTAATCCCCTCAAAGGTCCTGGAAACCTTCCTTTCAAATTCCTTAAAGACTTAACGCTATCCCTAACCCCTTCCCAACTTGGAAGTAAATAATGGGCCACTTCTCAGGACCCCAGTGCAGCTCTTTCTGCCTACAGATCCTGTCCCCATGCTTTAATAAAATCACCTTTTTGCACCAAAGACATCTCAAGAATTCTTTCTGGGACATCAGCTCCAAACCCTAACATTTCCCACATCAGTGTTACCTACTATTTATAAAAATGTCTTTCTCAAATACTGGTATCAACTCCATAAGGAGGAGTAAGGATCCCAAATCGTTTATAGTAACCAGAGCTGTGTCAGGAAAAACTTGGAAAACCAGTTTTTCAGGCTCGGTGGGTGGTGGAACCCTATTGAGATTCAAGTGTAATGAGGGAGATACTTCAGATAAAAACTTGATGCTGATAATTTTGTCCACCTGGCAATAACATTATCAATCCTGCTCTACCAGCCTAAACAAAATAATGAAGGACAAAAATGGACATTTTATTTAAATTTCCTATCTCCTATTGTGAGTGAAGATATAACTTGATTCCATTACGATTTAGTTGAGAAGCAGCACCTTGGAGAAGCCTAAACCCTCCCCTTCCCTGTGATCTTCAATGTCCCCTAGCTGTCTCAACTTTTCCTGGCAGAACAGATAGAGACCCACACTTGAAAGCCTGCCAAGTTTCAGAAAACTATTACACAATGATTACCATTTCCTTCCCCTGAGATTTAAAAACAAAACAATACAAAAAAAAAAAAAAAAGCCCCCCCCACCTTTCTTTTAAACCTCAGAGTCAGCTTGCTAACCACAAATTTTTGGTACTCCACTTTTAAGACAGGCTTTCATCTGGACTCGTCTCAATCCCCTTGAACTCTGTTTTTTCATGGTTTCCTTGAAAGTATATCCTCTCAAGAGTTCATTTTCTGGCTCCTTTCATCTCCTGCCATCAATCTTTCTCCAGTGTTCAGTGTTCTCATTCCCTCCATGCTCTCTTCCTTGGCAGTCCTGCTTCTTGTCTGGTGTAAATGTCTATGTGTGGGACTCACACCGATTTTTCCATCCACCTCCCTTATCCAAGGCTTCCAGATGGAATTTCAAACAGCCTGAATAATGCCATTCAGGCAACAAATGCTTGCTGAGGGCCTAACACGTGGCAAACATGGTACTAACTGCTGGGGATAGGAAAAATGAAATAGACCCACTTTCTATCTTACAGTTCAGTGAGAAATAAAGTTCCAATAATTATAAGAGAGAGACAGAGATGAGTGCAATGACTCATACTTACTATGTGACAGGCACTTTTCTAAGTGCTTTATAAATATGAATTCATTTAATTTTCATAACAATACTAGGAGGAAGATACTAGTATTATTCCCATTTAATACATGATATGGTGTGGGGCACCTCACTGGCTCCGTCAGTAGAGCATGCGACTCTTGATCTCAGGGTCGTGAGTTTAAGCCCCACGTTGGGTGTAGAGATCACTTAAACAAGTAAGTACTTCTTTAAAAATAAACTAAAATATTTTTTAAAAAGATTTTCTTTTTATTTATTTGATAGAGACACAGCAAGAGGGGAACACAAGCTGGGTCTCGATCCCACGACCCCTAGATCATGACCTGAGCGAAAGGCAGATGCCTAACAACTGAGCCACCCAGGCGCCCTAAGTAAAATCTTTTTAAAAAAATAGATGATGTGGTGAAACTGAGGCTCAATAATTTGCCCAAGGTTGCTCAGCTAGTAAACGGTAGAGCAGGATTCAAACCCAGGCAGAATGGCCCATTTCCTGTGCTAAATACTGCACTGTTCTACAGATTTTTAGTGTTCCTCTGCTGTACTGTCTACAGAGTGCTGTCTCTGAGTCCAATCTGAGTTCAAGTCTTAGTCTGCCATTTAATATCTATAACCTTCAGACTCTCTAAGCCCCCGTTCCCTCCTCTGTAAAGTGGGGTTAATAATGATACTTTCCTCATATGGTTATTGGGAGGAATAAAAGGAACTTTAGTATATGTTTGGCACTCAGTCTGTATTAAAAAACTGCTAACTAGGGGTGCCTGGGTAGCTCAGTGGGAGCCTGCTTCCCCCCCCGCCCCGCACCCGCTCTCTCTCTGCCTGCCTCTCTGCCTACTTGTGATCTGTGTCAAATAAATAAATAAAATATTTTTTAAAAATTGCTAATTATCATCATCATCATGACTGTTGCTGTTGATACACAAAATACTGTATAATGGACCAGAGAATCTCAGAAAAGCTTACGTTGAGGAGGATATGAGAGCAGCGTTTTGTTTTGTTTTGTTCTAAAGATTTTATTTATTTGAGAGGGAGAGAGGGAGATGAAGAAGACTCCCTGCTGAGCAGGGAGCCCAACTCGAGGCTCTATCCCAAGACCCCAAGACCATGACATATCCCAGGACCCCAAGACCATGACCGCTAGAGCCTCTGGCACAGGCTTAACCAAATGAGCCACTCAGGTGCCTGAAAGAGTTTTGAAGGATTATGCTCTCACTGAATAAAAACTGGCCCTTCCCCTCAGATCATTAATCCTGCTAATGGCATTATTGTTTTCCTAGTTACCCAAGTTCCAAGCTTAAGCCATCTCTAATTCCATTCTTTCTCCTTCCACATTTAATCAGTTGCCATGTCATGTTAATTATGTTAATTATGTGTCCTGCATTTCTTGCCCCTACCCACTTATCCTTTTTATTTTCATTGCTAATAACCTATACAGGTCCGTTAGCCTCTCTCAGATACTAAAGCAGGAACCAATGGGAAGCAGCATGGGGTAGTGTAGTAGACCACAGGCTTTAGTACCATCCTGAACTAGGCTTGAATCTCAGATCCTCCATTCATTCCAATATCAAATGTAAAAGAAATCTCAGCTCTAACAATTACAAGGTGTGTGAACTTGAGCAAGCTGGTTCACCTTCTTGATCTTCATTTTCCTCATTGAGACTCTCGTGGGCTTATCCTATCTCCTTTAGAAAACACAGTACTGGGGCCGCTGGTGGTGCCATTGGTCGAGCTTCTGACTCTTGGTTTTGGCTCAGGTCCTGACCTCAGTGGTGTGAGACTGAGCCCTGTCTTGGGCTCTGAGCTTAGTGAGGAGTCAGCTAAAGTTTCTCTCTCCCTCTTCCCCTTCACCTCCCTATGCTCTCTCTTTCTAAAATAAATAAATCGCTAAAAAAAAAAAAAAAAAAAGAGAGAGAGCGAGAGAAAGAAAAAGAAAACACTGACTTTTTTTCTCTTCTACCACCAAATTATAAATTTCCTTTTCTCCTCCTAGCTTTGGGCCTACTCATTCAATAGTAAGTACTATTTCTTGAATGAATGAGTGAACAGATGGATGATTCTGAAAGAAATGGAAGCCTCCTAATAGAAATCTACTATCAACGAAAGAACACAGGTTAACAGACAAAAAGGAATATGATTACACCCTGCCTCTTTTCTTTATCCCCTTTATTTTATGGACTTCATTATCTGGGAGAAGAGCTTGTGACAGATTCTTCTTTTCTTTTCTTTTTTTAAAAAATATTTTATTTATTTATTTGACAGAGATCACAAGTAGGCAGAGAGACAGGTGGTGGGGGGGGAAGCAGGCTCCCCGCTGAGCAGAGAGCCCGATGCGGGGCTCGA